CAGGGATTTACACACTAATTCKCACCGACACTCCGGTAAGAATAAGTAGGTATCAACCCCATTTTACAGATGAATAAGACAAACTGCTAAATACTTCGATACTCTATATACCTCGTGCAATCGCAGTACTGCTGTATTCACATCCACATGAACTCAGATATAAAGAGGCACAAAGATGTTAACATACAGCTCTGACCTACAGAACTCAAACCTCTTGGCTAGAGAGTAAGCTCGCAGGACAACGGAATGGCAATGGTTTAGTTCTTGGTCGATATCCTATGCCAATCTCTCTCTATCTGCATAACCACAATTGCTTAAGGAGACACTGGATCAAGATACAGACGTGTATAAAACAGCATTAGATTTTTTTTTCCCTTATTTTCAGCTTTCTGAGACTCGGAAATTCATGCAAGCAATTCCACCTCCAAATTTATGGCAATCTGTACCCTTGCATTGGCGTATTTCATTCTCTGTTTTTGTGCTCATGTTACTCAAGAGTGTAGCAGAGAAGGAAATAAAATCTCTACCATTTATGATTCTGAGTTTTGAATACTGCCCTGAGTTAGCTTATTCTAGCTTTCATTAGGGCACTTAAGACCAGGGTCTATGAGTGGAGCAGAGTTATCTAAAAAAACCCTATGTAATACCACTAAACAAGTGAAGAACTATATTCCTACCTGACAATATAGAAGCACATGCAGGTTTCTTTTCCATCTAGGTGTCCAAAAAATAAGATCAATGAGGAAAGGTCTGGAAACAATAAAGCTTAATATTCTTCAATAASTTAAACTATGAATGCCTAAGCTTAAATGCTTAAATCCTAAGTGGACTGATCCAGCTCCACGGCGCTACAACATTCTCAGTCTCACACCTGGTGGCAACAATCATCTACACAACGTCAGCCCCTGTGTCACAATGAGGTGACATAAACCTCTTAGAACCATAGAATCATGATGGTTGGAAAAGACTTTCGAGATCACTGAGTCCAACTGTAAGGCCTTCAACACTATCCCTGTTAAACCACGTCACTAAGCACCTCATCCATRCGTTTCTTGAACATTGCCAGGGACGGTGACCAGTTCCCAGGCAACCTGTTCCAATCCTTACTCATTATTTCCATGTAGAAATTCTTCCTAATGTGTGACCTGAAYCTCCCCTGGTACAACTTGAGGCCACTACCTTTTGTCCTACCCACAGTTATTCTGGAGAAGAGATCAACCCCTGCTGCACTACAGCCTCCTTTCAGGTAGTTGTGGAGAGGGGTAAGGTCTCCCCTGAGCCTCCTCTTCTCCAGACTAAGCAACCTAATAACAACAACAAGCTGCTCCTCATAAGGGCTGTGCTGCAGCCCCCTCATCGGCTTCACTACCCCTCTCCAGACTCRCTCCAGCACCTCAGTGCCCTTCTTGTAGTGAGGGACCCAAACCTCAACACAGGATTTGAGGTGCGGCCTCACCAGCGCTGAGTGCAGGGGGACAATCACTTCCCTGACCCTGCTGGAATATTACTTATATGTTATTATATGCATTATTTATATGCATTTTAAAGAGGCACATTGCCCAAACAAGGAAGCATTTTCTATGAACAGAGGGGTAAAAACAATAACAAGCAATTAAATAATTCAGCAGGTCACAGTTCCTGAAAACATACCGCAGATAAAGCTAGGTTTTATACCCAATGCAGGGAAAACAGCAAGCCAGCAAGTCCAGTGATAAGAAACACGGCCTGTGTGAGCCACAACGTCAACACTGCCCAGGCCCATTTCACTGCTCCAGTCTCTGCAGTCATGGGGCTTCAACACAAGCAGGGCAGCCTCCTGCAGTGGGTACCAGCCACAGCACAGAGAGACTCACTGGGAACCAACAGCAGCAGAGATCAAAGCAGATAACAAGTCCTGAGGTTATCAGCCTATATCCTACGTGAGAAACACACTTGCTTTCACTGTGCCAGGCAGTGTCTGCCAACTGAAGGTACCTTCCAGCCAAAACAGCGCGTGGAAGCCAGTGTGCATCCCATGCTGTAAAACRGTAGCTTACGGTTACCTGGGCTCTGCAGCGTCTTCCCTGCATCTGCTCTGAAGACTGCCCTGCTGTTCAGGTGCCCTTCCCTACCAGGGCGCACGCAGGGCCACGCCAGTGCAGCCACACGACCTGCACACCCTGGGAATGCCACATTTTGCTCTCCCTTCTTGAAAAGGGGCTCAACACCCATCCAGCACATGCTGACATAAGGACAGACAGTCACATGCTCCATCTTTGGCAACCACAGCACATACAGCATCATCTGCTTCTCTCCAGCTTTCAGACACATCTTGGCTCTGCCCTCAGCTACTGCTACGCGGTCCACTGCTGTTTAGAAGAGTGAAAGTAGCCCAGTTATTTTCCATGTAGGGAGCTAAGGGCACACTGCACCTTCCACTGTCAGGTAAGGTAATAGCACGTGTACATGGTCACCTTAGAGATGCAGCAACTACCCGTTAGCATGTGTCTTTCCAAAAGCCCCTCATGCTCAGAAGTCTGTCCACTAAGGAATATTTCTCAAAGATAACAGTGACAGAGCTGCATAGCAGCATCTACCTAGAAACCCTCAAGAAGTAATATATAGTACRGGAGCATATGATGTCTGTGAGATTTTTTATGCTGTGAGATCTTTTGAATTTTCTGAAAAGTGTAGCTTAAAATTTAACTTCTATCAAGAACTAGCACAGCTTTAGGAGATTTATGGGCCAGTTAAAAAAATACCTAACTTTTTGCAAATGCTTATAAAAACTGAATAGTATGCATGTTTGCACAAATATGTATCAATGGCATATAACATAAAAGAAAAAATATTTGTGCTCATTTAAAGTTTTATTACAACAATTTTTCTTAACATTTCAAATTAAGCAGCTTTAGGATACACAAACTAGCTTGCTGCTTGATGGCCAGGCTATGCTGTTCCAGTCCAAAACTTGCTCTTTGAGCATCATGCCCTTTTAATTTTTTTTTCTACCCTTTCTTTGCTCTGATAATCTTTTTTTTWAAGCAGAGATTCTGGTCACCTCAAATGGTGACATAACCAATGCACAGAATAGTACAAAACAAACTGCTGAAATCACTCTAGAAACAACACMGTATCAGATCACATGGGAATTCTGGAACTTCTGGAGGCATTTGGAAATCAGGATCACAACCCCTATAAGCACTTAGAGTACTTACACTAAAAGTAAATTTTCCAAAAACTTTAACCTAAATGTTGCATCAGTAGAGCTCACTGAAAAGCAATTCAATATTTCAAAACAATTCTTAGATCTCTGTTTCTTGCTCTCAGATCTGGGCTTACACTGTTCTCACTTGAGGCAATGCTCAGGCCTATCCTGTTCTGATGAAKGTTTCATGCAGGCTATGGGAGTGAAGGGATGATCTGCACTCCTATTATGAGCACAAAAAATCCTGGAAGGAATAATTTAGAATAAGATTAGCTCCTATTTTCACAGACTAGTTACTTTCCACCATCAAGCCCAATTTAAACTTTAAAATACCAGAAGTAATTAAGGTATGTTGTGCTTGCCAAATTACAGAGCCACTTGGGAGTAGTATCCATGTTAATCAGGAACATTAACTGCCAGACTATATGACTTCCACTTCTCATTACTCCATTTTTATTATTGTTATTCAGAATGTTTTTCACTTTTGGAAAAAAAAGAAATAATCCCCTCTCCAAACAGAGATTCACCTCTGAGAATATTTATTCTGGGCTATAATACCCCATACGTTCTTAGGAATGGCACAAACCCTTCCACAAATGCCAGTTACTAAATAGCTTTTTTTCTATCAGGGAACAAGTAAAGATGCAGGACACTGCTTAGCAACACCTCTTCCTACTGGGATAATGTTCTGGCAAGTTCCCGGAGTCTTTGTCTAGCAGAAAAGAGTTCCTGGGACACAGTGATCAGCAGAGGTAAGAAGCATCACTGCCTTTCTTGAGGACTAGCTCTGCTCTTCCTACTCCCAGAAGGATTTCCACACAAGTAAAATGTTTGTTTCTATTCCTAAGAAAGCTAAACGATGCACAAAATCTGTTTTGAATCCTTCCTCACTACAGGCTCAGGCTGATAAGGTGGAAAGTGAATAAAAATGACACGCAGTTTTAATCATGCCAGACCTATGCACTACAGCAAACACGGGTTGAGAAGCACCAGAGTTGGGCTGTAAAAAGCTTTCCGCGCTGGAGAGTGGCAGACTTCTTGTGCAGAGCCCCCTTTCCTCTGAAGTTTTTACTGATGAAAGCTTTGGGCCATGAAAACACAAACACACTGAAATTCTTCAAATACACAGAGAGAATGATGTAGTGTGTTCTCCCCCCATACAGTGGCAGTTTGGGAAGAATGCAGTGCAAGGAATGCCAAGCTCTCTCTTGCAGACTTCATTACGGTATTAAGATTTACTAAATCTACTATCAGGAAGCAAACACTTAAGTTTTTAGTAAAGATTATCTGTTTTTGTTCTTTRAAATACTTCTACTTCATGATATCTTGAAGGACAGACCCTGAATTCAGAAAAAATATATTCTAAATAATACTGTTTCATTATTAAAGAGGTATTATAAATTTAAATGAATGCCACTATGAATTTTAGTTATTATGCAATGCAGTTCTGGACCACTTTTCCAGTTTGAAGATTGGTTGATAATCCAGTACTTAAATCAATGCTTTAATTTACACAGTAAATTGTGGCATTTTATGCTTTGTCAAAAATGCATGTACACTTTTCATCTGTTTTAATCTGTTAATAGATGAAGTGTTATTTGAGGATCTATATGCCTTACTCCTACACATATSATACACATGCTGCTACTTACCACTATAGAATCAATACTACTAAAATTCTTCAGGGGTTAAATGGAAAGAGTGTAATTATAAACCATTTTTARAAATACTTGTGATCAAACCTCATTTCTAGATCGCTCTCCACAATTTACAAATGTTATAATTTGTGGGAGTAAAAATATAAATAGGTCACCTTTCAAAAGCTGATTCAGGTCCATGGCATCATGTAAGACTTTTCGACTATATCTGCGATCAAATTCAGAATCTAATGAAAAAGATAGAGAAATAAGATTGAATTTCTGAAAATTTGTAGTTTTTACAATTTTTGCATTGTATTTAAATTCTTCGAAATTACCATATAGCTCTTGGCTCACATTTTCCTGTCTTTTTATTTTTAATTTTTTATCATTTGATGCTGCAAGTTCAAAAGACTGGATAGGGCTGATGTCTGGGGTTGACAAAGGCGTTACATCAGTCACCGTGTCTTCAGACTCCTCCAAGTAGTCACCAAGCTTTGGTTTCCCTTCCGCTAATTTCATTCCTGACCTGAATTTTTGTTTTGGAGACAGAAGAGCCACGCTACAAGCATTCCTTTTTGAGGAAGAATGAGAAGAATCTGATAAGCTATCAGAATCTGTATCAGAACAATCCGTATCTGAGCTTGATGATGAGGAAGATGAGGAAGAGGAAGATGAAGAAGAGGAGGAGGAGCTGATATTGGTATATTTTTTGTTAGTTTTTTTCATGTTTGATTGTTTGGCTGACTTTGGTCTAACCCTCTGTTTTTTGCCATCATCACTACTATCTTCTTCATCTGTATAATAATCTTCTTCTCCTTCTTTAACTATTTTGGGGATTCCAGCAGGAACATTCTCCTGTGTTCCCCTACTTGCTGCAGATGCTGTTCCAGATGTACCTGCATTCTCTGAAACTGGAGAAGGTGGCAAAGAGGGARCGTCCCCAGTACGGTCTGTCAGATTTTCTAAGGACTGCCCCTTCACCAAGTCCTTTTCTTTCTCTTCACTTTCTTCCTCAGGACACTTCTCATCCTTTGACTTGGGAACCAAGTCAAGCTCTGGAAGAATCTCCTCCGTATTTTCCTTTTCTATAGGCTCATGATTTTCATCACCTTTCTTTTGCTGTTCCTCAAAATCACTGTCAAAGAAAGCATGATCCACTTCACCGTCTGATACGTCTTCAAACCGGTCCATCTTCAAATGTGAAGTGCTGCCTGGAACCACAAGAAGGTTTCCAAAGGTTAGAAAAAAGCAGACACAATTACACACTTAATTGAACCATTTTGTTCCATGCTTGTTAAAGTCTAGTCAATATAAGCCTGTATTAAGTACGTTAGCAGTTAGGGACAAATCTGTAGTTGAGCTTTGTACTGGAATTTGGGACCACCTTACTCTACCCAGTTTATGTGTTTCTGTGAGATCAAAAAAAACCCTTACCTTAAGCAGTCAGAATACATGACAATTTTAATACCAGAGGTACTTCTGCTCCCCCAAAATTAGTCAAATACGGCTAGTCATTAAATGAACCTAATAAAGAAAGGTTCATTTAATGAACTCTGTAGTAATGTCATACGGTGGATCTGGTTCAAATGGGCAAAAATATAATATTTAAAAACCTTGGGCCTAGGAGCTGGTCATCACCTTGGCTGACCCAGCAGCCCAAACTGCATCTGGAGGGGGTACATAGGTCCTCAGCAACCTGTTCCTACTGCATCACACTCCTGCAGAAGTAGGTGTAGTGCTGGATCCTATGCGAATTGTGCACGTGCATGTGAGCGAATTGTGCACGTGCATGTGAGTGAGGAGGAATTGGAACATTTCCACTCATTGGGATATACAGACTTAAACTGCAAAATGAACAAGCAAAAAGACAAACAAAAACACCCCAAAAGCAAAACAAAAAACCCTACTACTAAACAGCCAATACCACAGACCACTCTTCCCTATTAGTTACGAGCAATTTTTCCTACCACCTCCAACAGATTATACATAAATTCCTTAAGCTACAGCCAGTAAACAGAGTTTTGCAGACCCAAGGACACCAAGAACAAAGCTAGTGGAAATTACTATGCAAGACAGGAGAGCCAGTATATAATAAAAGAAGGAAGTTCTCCCTTAAAGCACGTATAATTTGTTACCATGGCAAACAGAGGCAAGGAGGGAATTCCTAAGCTTGCTTTGGAACTGCAAGTCTATTCCCAGGGAAGTTTCCAGCTCAAACTATTTCAACAGAACACAGAATTTTTTAAGGTCTGTGCTGCTCAGTTTTCTTGCTGCTTCTCAAACACTGCTCAGCTCCAGGGGATTTGAAGTTATGCACTGCCACGCAAGGACAGCACGGAATGTAAAAGTAGTTGGAGCAGTAAGAAGATGTGGAATCTCCTGTGGCTTGAAGATCCACAAAGCCAAAAGTAATGAAGAGACCTAATAAGGTTAGCTACAGTACAAAGCTGAAGATGCTACTGAACAGAAAAAGCAGAGGTCAGCTTTGATACCATAAAAAGACACTTCAAAGCACAAAACTGCTGCAAGTGTGACAGAACTTGGATATAAGCAACGAAAAAGGGGAAAAAAAAGCACCTGGAAACTCCTAATTTGAAATTCTACATGTAATCTGGGAACTTTCCTGTGTGCATGTCACTTCCTGTGACATGTGGCTGTAAGCAGCTTGCAGTCTCCAATGCCCATCTTTTGAAAGCAGAGCAAGATTCCTAGAAGGACAATACATTTTAATACATCAAAACCTGTACAATTAGAGGGAAAAAAAAAAAAAAAAAAAACCAGAAGAACATGGCTCTTTATTTGCATTTCATATAACCCCCAAAAGAAAGGAATAAGGCAGGGTTGCTGGGGTGTTCCATCCTCTTTATGATGCTACCTAATGCATTAGGATCCCTCCAGTTTGTACCTTCCAATAAGATTAAATATGACCAGCTGGTACAATCAGATACAGGCAGCAGATTTCATGTAGTATTTGATGCACTGTTAGTGTTGCTGCACACATAAGAGTGTAAGGCTATTAGGCAAGCACAGGCTTGCAGGTGGAGACAGACCAGCTCAAAATAGAAGATTCACTCCAGCACACGACATAATCACACRTGATGATGTACAACTCCCCAATTCTGCAAATAAGATGAAACTAACAGCATTTTGCTGCCCATAATTTAACACGTTGTCACACTGAGACTTGTCAGCTGTCTCTGATGAAGATAATTCCTCAAACAGGAATCCGCAACGCGGCTCCCTGCGCCCCRCAATGCTCCCGCCTTTGCTCCCGCCACAGCCCTGCAAGCGCTTCAGCCGCCCTCTTAATGACAAACAGATGTGCCGCTTGGCTCAACTTCTCCCGCTGATACTCTTCATCATTCACGAGCTAAATGTTAATTAATTCTGGAGTTTCCATTTGAGATAACCAGAGGATGCAATGGAGGGATGGCATGTGGTGCTCCTGTTCCCCCATGCTTTACTCTAGAATGGGAGCTGGATTTGGCCCAGTTACAAAGAAGAAGGGATTCTGCAGATACATCAAGCCCAGATTACTAACTCAAACACATCTATATACTGCACAGAATATAATTTTATTTCTCGGGGAAGTTCAGAGTTCTACCAAGTTATCAGTTGCTAAAGCAGAGACTTGACAAGTTTTGAACAYATTGCACATTTTGAGAACATGTTTTTTGAAGTTAGAAACTGAAGCTTAAGAAGTACATTAAGTCCCTGTGCAGGATTCAAAGCATTTTAACTTTGGTTAATACTTAAAGTTATCTAATTGATCACTCACTTGTGTTCTTTTTATATGCAGAGAATTGAGGGGAAAAAAAAAAAAAAGGAAAAAAAGGCAGAGAGTATTGAAATAAACCGCAGGAAATAAAGAAAGCATCTTGCATGCATTAAGGTACAAGCGTGTTCAACTTACTTCTCTATTCTTTTAATGACTCTTAAACAAGAAATTGGGTGTTTCATGAGGGTACCTTCCTCTCAAGGCAGCAACCCCCAAAGTCACCAGCACCAGCACAATTTAAGGCTGTGTTAATAAACACACATGCAAAGTATCCAAAGCAATAATAATGCTCTATTCAACTCCATTAAGGCATCTTCTGGTTTAGGGTTATTAATTTTGCTTTGCAAGTACAATCTCCAATTGAGCTGGAAAGATCCAGGCAACCAACTTCTTCCCAGCCCATACAAACAGTTTCTGTTCCCACAGGACACCTCTCCTTTCATCTGGGAATTTCTGCCTCTTCAAAACCGGGACCCACTCACCAAATTTCAGGGARCAGAAACAAATGTTTGCGGGCTGAGGTTAGAAGGCAGAAGTGTTGAGTTGAAGGTTTTACACTTCCAGTGGCCCATGTTCCTCAGGAAATTCCAGCATCCTGTGGCCCTCTTTACCCATTACTCCCCCTCCGTCAAGGGTGCTGCCCCCTTCCTTCCTAACGCCGACAAATCCCTGCTTCCCAAGGAGCGCTTTGGGGCAATGAAAAAGAMAAACCTCTAACCTGACCATGGCTTTCATAAACAACAATCAGTAACAAGTTACCATGTAAAGAGCACTAGTTCAAGACAATCCCTCTCTCACTTTAGCTGACTAGAGCAAATCAAGGAAACAAATTGAAAGAAGCCCAGAAGAGAGCAGTAAAAAGTTTAAGATTAGATAAACATAATTGTCAAATACTAAAAGGGGAAACACAGAAATCTTGAACTCTTAAAACATGTTTTAAAACTCAGTTTGTTGTYAGATACAATCAACAGCAGTGGTAAAGATGAGCTAGCAGAGCTGCTCCCAACCCCGTGCCAAGCTGTGCGTACCCAACGCTGCCTCCTTCTTCCCAGTTAAAGGTTTCCAGCTTRCTACTAAGCAAGAGGGCATGCAAGCAGGAAGAGAATCTCCCAGGAAACTATTTCCCTTCAGGGGAAGCCCCCCTCACTGRACATAAATTAACAACCTGCCTTCCTTGTGATCTTCTACTTTCCAAGCCCAAAGCACAGGACCTGCTGCTGCTGCTTTGCCCTCCAAACTTGGGCACCGGGTCCCCTCACCTTTTTACCATCTTTCCCCCAATCCAAATGAAGAGTTTCATGACCAATCTGCAAAATGTAGGTCCTCAGCTCTGGCTCAGACTAAGGTTCAGCACTAAGCWCCACTCCTCCATGCACTCATATACCATACATCGGACTTACTTCCACGCCAAGATGGAACAGCAGGCTGAGGCACAAGCAAGTAACTCCGCTATATATTGTAGGACACAGCAGAGGGGACACAGGAGCTGGAATTAGGTCAGAAACTAGGTTGAAAGGGATCCTCCTCCATGGAGGTTTTTCTAGTCCCAAACCCTGCTCAAGGTAGGGCCAACTTTAAAGTTAAAACAAGTTTCCTCAGGGACCTTTTCTCACTTCTTCCAGTGCTTAAAAATCCTCATTGTGAATTTTTTGCTCTTAAACAAAAATTTTCTGTGTTACAATCTGCAATAGGCTTGACTCTGAAGCAAGTGACCCAAAATGAGCACTCTGAAAGCATCATGGAACCAGTATTTGTCCTTCACACGCCAAACCTGACATGCTAACCTAACTCAAGCTCAATATAGAACAACTATTTACACTACTAGTGCAACTGAAACCAGTCCAATTGACTCTCAAGTGGCTCTCCAACGCCTTTCACCACCTTTGTCCCCTCTTAGCTCAGAAGCTGAAGGAGAAAAGCTACTATGGATGTTCGGGGTCAATATGTCCAGCTATTGCTGCCCCTTTTCCTGCTGTCCCTGGTTTTCTTTGCTGTAGTAACAGTGAGATTTTTTAAAGCAAAAGACATGTCTTTGTATATAATAAGATGTACGTCAGCAACCCTCAAGCCTGTGATGACTTAGCCTTCAGAGCAGCAGCTCTGACTGTCTCTGACCAGAATTAGTCAACTGGAGATGTGTCAGAGTATTTTGATTCGCCTTAAAATGATCCAGCGCCTCTTATCTGGTCAAAGCAAATAGGCTATTTAGCAAATAGCTTATTAACAAATAGGACACTAATATTTTTTAAAGCAAAGTTCAAAAATGGGCACAAGGAAATCCTGGAACAAAACCAATTGCTATAATCTTTCAGAGCAGATGAAAAGTGCATGACCACGAGAAAGTCCTAGGTCAYTGCAAGGCAAAGGCTCTAAAGTCAAGGTACAAGGAAACAAACAAAAAGTTATTCTGGGAAGAATTACCCATTTTCCTACTATAATGTAATTCTGCTGTTTATGTTGAGGGATGTGGATTTGCAGCCATCTTCCYGAGCAGAAGTGATGCCACACAGCCAGCCAACCCAGTTTCTTGTGGCTCTGTTGCCACACACCCCTTGAGACATTCTGGTGCAAATCTATTGAGAATATCCTGGCTTGAAATCTTAGAATTGGTGGAATGCATGTTGCTTAGGTGCTTGAAATCTTAATTCTAAGCACCTAAGCAACATGCATTCCACCAATACTTGCAATGAACAATATTAGTTCAATTACTTCCCGAGTCACAGGACTGCAAGCTAGTCCCAGAAATGGTCAGCCCAGACGCAGAAGAAGCCAAACGGGAGCTCAGCAACACGTAAGTCACAACATGCTCCAGGATACCGGGCCTTCCTTACCAAGTGGCACATCACGTGAACCGTGTCCAGCACGGGGAAAACTCACTGAACTGTTAGTTTACCTGCACTTCTCAGGTTACAGATGTAGCGAGCTCAGTGACCTGACCGTGCACGTTGCCATGTCCTCAGCATTTCCATCAACACCCAGCATGGTTGTGTTCCTACACGGATCAAAAAGATTTCAGGTCTGCATCTGCATGGAAACACCTTCATTGCAATTTGGGAAATACACATGTAGTTTTATAGACGGAGTGATCTATAGTCACTGAAGACTGACAAGATGCAATCTTGCCAAGGTGTTTACATAGAAAAGGAAGAAGCACTGACTGGAACAAGCGAGCAGAGGAAAGTGCAGAAATTCAGTCACTGARCTGGTTACACAAAGGAGAACTTAAACAAACATCAATCAGGAACAGTCCAAGTATATGTATTTTGCCTCTGAGTGTGTGTGGGGTAGAAAGCAGGTAAAAGTCTCTTGAGATCCTATTCTGTATTATACTTTTTTATGACTTGCCCATGTCCTCAGATGAGAAATAAAAATGCGGATACAGAGCTAAAAACACTGAGGTTTCTTTTAAATTCTTTCTAACTTCGGATTTCCTGGCATTCTATAGTGATTATTACACTATTAAAATGAAACACTGCRAGATAATAAATATCCATCACTGATTTATGACTTATTATTTTATCATCCAACTTCTGGCTGGGTAGATTTAAAAGAAAAAGAAAAAAAAAACACTAAAACACCTTGTAAACATTCCTCCCACCTGTGCTACAGAAAAACCATACACCACCTATCCTGTGGATTTTGAAAGACTCCTTGGAGAGGCACCTGCATGTTCAGGACAGCAGTCCTGAAAACCCTTTGGGCCTATATAAGACTTATGCCAAAACACGGGATCCTCGGAATGCCCTTTAGAACAGAGGTGAGCATAGAAAGAGACCCAAAACCAAACCAAGGAGGTTATAAAAGCTGAGGATCCTGAGAAAAGGGAACAATCCCA